AAATCGGTATTTTATGCAATTACTGAAGTTACTCATTCAATTATTGAAGAATTAAGAACCATTCCTTACTTTACAAGTGACAAATAATAACATTACTAACATTATTTAGTAATTACTTACACCGAACACTGTATGATTAAAATGTAAACGTACGCATTGACTCGGGCAGCTATTTTCCCACAAGCTAACTCTTTCTCTTTCGCCGCTGCAGCCGTGTTGCTTTTTTTTTTTTACGAAATATGGGCTCGTAGTCACTATATGCTTGTAGTAGCACATCCATTTCTGTCGGGGAAAAACGCAGACCTATTTTTGCTTCGTCCTGTTGCCATGGTGACTCGTAATGTCTAATGTCATTGTTCAGGGCTTTTTATAGTCACGCTGGACGCGCCTAACTCTGAGTCTAACTACTCAGAGTTGATTAAACCAACTCTTTTCAGCTGTTCTGAAACCGAAAACTCCAAGTTTTCCAACTCTGGGTAAGTCAACTCAAAGTTCAGGTTTGAACTCTGAGTTTGTTAAACCTCCTTCTTGAAACGGGCCCCTGCTTGGATTTATGTTTCTGTTTACCTGTTCTCTCCCCTCTACTCCGTCACCACAATTAGTCGCCATGTCATTCACCTGTTGCTTGTTATCTCCCGGTCCTGTCCCCTGCGGTTTCTCTCTGCAATCAGCCATCATTTCCCCCACCTGCTGCTCATTCTCTCCCGGTCCTGTCAGGTATATATACACCCTGTCTTCCGCCGCCTCTTTGCTGGCTCATACTATACCGTTACCTTACGTTTATGCTACGCTACCCGGTTAGCATTATGTGTTCATGTCCTGAGTTTACTGTCTTTTTGACTTCGTGTTCCCGTCCTGTGCTACTAGTTCCTGTTTGTTTCCGCATTTCAGCAGCTCTGATAAATCTGCGTCTGGTCAGTCAGCAAGCTTACCGTTTCTTTTGGTTAAGTGCCTAAGTCCTCGGCTCTTCATCCTTCTGTTTCCTGATTGCTGATACCGCTACTCTGTGTCTGACTACTACCTGTACATGCTGCTCTCTATATGTTGCTGTAACATTACGTTGGGTTAGTATTGACACAAGCTCTCCAAACCTTACCCACACACTTTGCCTTGTTTGCATTTATAAGACCTTTAGTAGTCCAAGTCTGAACAAAAAGATTTCAAATGAGTAACTACAAATTCATTCTTCATCTGATTTTTCTGTGTGTCAGCAGCCTGTTTGGGCAGCACAAGCGGCCACAGCTGCAAATGTTCCCCGTCTCAAGCAATGTGACTGTGGTTGCATTTTCACTTTTATTATACAGTATATCACCTGCAGCATCCACACACACACGCCCCCAACTTAGAGTCCTCCATATGTGAATAACAAGGCTTGTCTATCCAAACACATGCCTTGGTACAACTTCCAAGTACTGTATCTTGTGTGTGCGCTCTCTCTACCACCATTAATACAGGGTCAGTGCAAAGTTATCATGTTGAAATCTGCTGTTTCCACAGTACAGATATGCTCATTTGTCTCTGTCAACAGCTCCACGCCTCCTCTGATTTTGTTGAAAAATACTTATCGCTGCTGAGACATTCTTAGTATGTTGCATGAAGGCCCTGCAGCAGCTTCATAAACACTTAAAGCTACAAAACACCTACATCGGCGCTCTGTGTGAACGAGGAGAATACACACACACACAAACAGAAAACATCAGCTGTAAAGTTCCAAGCATGTGAGGAATACTCAGGTCCTCCATAATTAGCAATCAGTGCTAAATGAGGGAGAGTCACAACCTTCAGATAGAGATCTTCATGAAAGATATGTCAGAACAGAATTAATGTTTTTACCCTTAAAGGAATACTCCACTGAATGTCTTTTTGGTATCGAACACTCAAATTGATAGGTGATTCCTACTTGGGCCACATCTGAAGTTTTACAGTGACTCAGAGAAATTGCAAACTGAACATTTTAAAACTACTGCATCAAAACTATAGCCCAAAAGAGAAAAATACTAGACAGCACACAGAGAACACAAACCTTTGCCAAGGCAGATCAGTTTCCCCATAATGCCATTCCACCTAAACAAAATATTCTCATGATAGTTTGACCCTCATAATATGATTCCTTGAACATGAAAAGCAACCTCCAGCATGGAGTATGAATATCAGGATAAGAAACACCCAGAGTTAAATCAGACACGGTAGAGTAGATAATGATCACTTCGTAACACTGTTGCCTTGGCTACTATTCATCCCTGGGTATCTGTTTACTTTGTTTTAAATGCAAAGATCAGAAAATAGTTGCTGTACTTTTCTTTGTTGTGGTGTGATTTTTGTCAGCGCTAACGTAGATGTGAGCTTGTAATTAGCACTGCAAGCTAATGTGACTCAGTAGCTTATGTTTCTGAACAGTGAAACTTATATTTTGCCTACATGTATTGTACTGATTTCCATTTGTGTTTTGTTGTTTTACAAAAAAGTAATTCATTGTTAAATAACAAGAAACATCATGTTTGTTTTTTTACTGGAAGACGACACACTGTTAGCTAACTGTCTAGCTTTGACCAAGTATATTTGTCACCTCACATTAGCAAGTTTTCCATGAGCCATATGAATTTGAACAGTCTGGATCACCGCATCCAGAATATTACTTGCATCCAAATCATACTTTGGTATGTGGTATATGTTATGAGATGTTAATACTGAAATTGGTCCTGTCTCACAGTGGTGAAGTTTGGAAGATGATCCGAATCACCATAAAAATCTAATGGATTGTTCCACTGGCCATATGGTATTTCTCCAAAAAGATTTATCAAAACCCATTCATTGCTTTTTGAGTTATGCTGTGAAAAAGTCAACAGCCTGCTTGGCAGAAATTAAAATGCTTATTTTAAGTTTTGGTTTAATTTTCTGGGTGATATAGCCCTCCATAATAAAAGCTCAAATTACTACAAAATTTTTTTTTTAAATAAAAATGGCTTTCTTACATAAAAATAACATCTACATTTACATGTGGTGAACAGGTGTCTGTGGCAAGGAAATCTGTTTTCTTTCTTTGGTCTGTGTGCGTTAGTAAAAGTGCTGACAATACTATGTGTGCTATTTATACCTTATGCATGGCTTTTCTTAGCATGCAACAGTGGTCAGTTCCTCCAAATAAAGAAATGGGTAAATAACAATTCCAATGGGCGTATGCTACACAACAAGCCTCTTCTCAGTGCTTTGATCTAAATTGGACTAACCAAACAGGTTCTGGAGGACGTGGCTGGGTTGTGTGATTTTTAGGTCAGCTTTTAGAGGGCTGCAGTGGCACGTGGACATGTAGGCAGAGACAAATACATAAGAAACAGACAGACACATACAAAGCATAAGCAGCTGTCTGTTGCAGTGCCAGGGCGGGGTCTGAAAATAATGTACGATCAGTTCTCACACAGCTCCCTCAATGCTATTCATTCATTAATTGATAACAGACTGGCTGGGAGGGGGGCACTTGTAAACAAGTTTACAATTTGATGAATGAGTGAAAGAGGCAAACAAAAAAGTATATTATTAGATTCCATCTGGGTATCATCTGCAAATATGAATCTATTATTCTCCAAAGCAGAGCAGAGGAGAGAGCAGACTTGGCTGCTGGGGTGAGAATGTTCCTCTTTCAGATGAGTCCAAAGAGCTTATGGTTTCCCCAAGTAAACTGTGGCCTCTGGCTGCTGGCCCAGTCATCCACAGTAGCAGCTTTCTGCCAGTTCTTCCCTTTGACTGCGTGTCTCTGACTGTAGGTGTGGAAACTCCAGCCTGCACTGCAAAGTAGAAACTCTCTCTTCTCTTCGTTCCACACATTGGAAAAGGCTGATTTCAATAAACACTATACAAGAAAGGCCAAGAGGTTTAGAGGTCTATTTGCATATTTAATGTAAAGATTCGACATAGTTGCTTTAGTGCGTTAGCAAACAGGTGCCTTCGCACACATCTACTCTGGCCAGCAGACATTAGCATGAGCACACATGGTTTGTGTCCACATCATGAATTTAAGCCCAAGATTTCCTCTTTCAACTCTGATTCTGTCTTCGCCAATGCTTGAGAAAAACATCTGGCTCTTGAGCTGGCTGCTAATTGTGAGTGCTGTTTGGTGCTGGGCAGGTAGTGTACACGGAGTTTAGAAGAGCCTTTCCCTTGAAACCAGCTGCCTGCTGCTGAGAGCACAGACATGGAGTCAAAACATTTAATAAACTGCAGGCTGAAAAACCAGAACAAGGAGCTCTGTGGTTTGTCATGACAAGCAACACACTTAAAATTACACACATATTTGTTCTGCTGTTGGTTAAAAAAAAAGTTGATTTTAGTGGTTGAAGTTTTTAGCTTTGATTTTTATAGGGGTGCTATTCCCCTGTCAGCCACTGTCTTCACCATCACTGCTCACGCAAACCACAATTCTTATTCCATTCTAGCAGGAAGTGTGAATCAGCTCCTGTGCAGCAGGTACCCAAGGGAATTTGCAGCATAATGTGAGAACATTTACAAGCTTTTGTTGGAGCTTGCAGAATTATTTTACAGCTCTTTTCTCCCCAGTAGACCTCTTTCCTTCCTGCACCAAGACACCTGAGTAATTGCAGTTTCTGGTTTCTTCAGACACCATTTCAGATTCATCAGCAGATAACTTTCACATTTGTTTGTTCTCCCTTGCTGTCAGACATGCATCTATAACAGCTTGATTTAAGATCTTAGTGGCAGGGGATTCAAACGAAGTCAACTGCAGCTTCACTCATACTTACTACCCTGCCAAATGAAAAAGATTCATTGACAAAATGTGGCTTCAGCAGTAATTTGTGGTAGGTTTGGGACGTCTGCTCCTCTCAGTGTTAAGAGCAACAGTGTCAAAATTTTCTCGAACTGGATTAAGTCACATTACCACTCACTTCTATCAGTTTCTGACAAGAGCAGCCATGAACCACTTCAAGTTTGCTCTGTGATTTGCATTGGCCACAAGCCAAGGGACGAAGTTATCCTCGTGTCCAACGTTTTCAGTTGCTTTAAAGATCTCACTAAGCCTGGCCTGATGTCAATCCTTTTTCCACCTAGGGTTAACATGCGATTTGAAGGGAAAATGCCATTTCTAGAAGACTATCCGACCATGAAAAGAAAAAAAAAGAGCACCAGCTGACTCAGCAAGTACCCCAAAATGACATGTCTGTGTTTAAGCACCAAACCCTAGTGGGGATAGAAATTACTACTGGAACAGCAAGGATGTCAAGTGATGGCATTACAGAGCAACAAAGTCCAACAAGTAGGTCGGTGGACGGTTGAGTCAAAGTGTTGGACACAGGAGGACACTGTTCATTTTCCACAGCAAGTTGGTGGTTTTTAAGCAGTAAAAAGTTACTCCATCCTTTTTAGACTCAGTCTGTGTGCAGCAGCTGAGCTCTGACAGCAGGTGCACATTCTTAAGTGATGCATGACTAAAATAAAGAAAAGGAAACTCTGAGCCTTTTATGAAGAGACACACACACACACACACAAGTCCTCACAAGTCGGCTGCTGATAAAAGACAGTGCGGCTACAGCTCAGCTGGTATAATCTTTGCTCCAGCTTCACAGCCTGAGGGGAGCTCTCTCTCCGCTGCCTTGTTTTCTACACCTTCATGCTGTTCTCAGCATCAAACCTGAGACTGACAACCTGTCCTTTCTAGCGCTTACACTTACATTGACCTCAGCTGACTATGTGTAGATATATTTTTAATAGAGCAGGTCATTCAAACAGTAGTCTATAAAATGCCATCATGATCATCAATGCCACTCTACCCAAGCCTGTTCCTATTCTTTGTTACAGTGCTATTCTCCTCTTCATCACCCTCTCTAGAGGACTCTGGAGGTGATAAGAGCTGCTTTAACAGACTGGTGATTTGGTGGCACTGTAAACAGCAGCTGGATGGACAGGCGTCATCCGAACGTATTCCGTTCTCAGAAACGCACATCAGTTTCTCTGACACCCACTTTATTTGTAAAGGTCCATCAGACCGCAAAGAGCCGCGTTCTGAGATAAAGCCACAGCCGTCGCTGCTGCTCTCCCTGTGTACTTG